GAGCTCGTCACAGTCTCCTGGCTCGTCTGCGGGACATGGGGAAGCAATGGGGGAAGCTCCCTCCCTTTTCCTAGGGAAAGGAGGGAGAGGCGGGGAACCCTCCTGGCTGCAGCTCTCTGCATGGGGGAATCCGAGGCACGGGGTGGCAGCATGAGGGAGAGGGGGGCTGCAAATATATCCTGGCACTTCCAGGCTGGGACCAGGTTGGTACGCTGGCAGGGGGCCTGACAGGGCAGGTGGGTGCTGGGCATCCCTGCCCAGGGAGGGGGCACAGCCACTGTAGTGGGAGCACATGGGCAGGGAGGAAATGAATGCCCCAGCTGTGCCTGGAGATCATCCACAGCCTGATCTGCCCCTGGAAATGCCCCCCCCATCAAGGGGCAGGGGTTGCTTGCCAGAACCTGGGGGGTCCCTGTGCTCCTGGGGAGGGGGTGGTGCCTGCTGAGGGTGGCGCTGGGAAAGGGTCCTGGTCTTGCCAGCTGCTTCCCAGCGCCTGCACATGTGTGAGCAGCAGCGCCCTGCACAAAGGCAGCTCTGAGGCTCCAGAGCTGGACCTGACTCCGGCACATCCCCAATGGGGCTGCCGGCTATGGGCAGCTGGAGCTGCACCAGGATGGAGACAGCTGGCCATGGTCAGCCCCAACCACCTCGCCTGGCACCCACACCCCTCTGCCACCTTTACCCAGAGCGGGCACTGGCTTGTCCCCCTTGGGAAGGTGGTGGTCCCATGAGGTGTCATTCCAATCTCAGCAAGCATGGGTAGGACGCTCCACAGGCGCCCCCCAGAACAGCCTGCAGTGCTGCCAGGGCTTCGTGGGTACATGCCCTGCCCAGTGGTGAGGGTCTTATGAAGGATTCCAGAGGGTCGTGGTGCCAGGGCTGTGCCATGCCTGGCATGGAGGCGTCGCAGCAGGCCCTCACCCGTGCTCTGCCCCATGCAGTTCCCATTGTCTACCCTCATTAGCCGCTGCCTGCTCGCGGCTTTGAACATGAGCCGGGCTTGGGGCGGCAGGAAGGAGCCTCTACTCCCCAGGGATGGGGTCATGGCGAAACTGCATGCCCTAGCCCCCTCTTCCCACAGCTTCCCACTGCCTCCTGGGCACCCCAGTGCCCCTCCAGGCACTAGCCTGGAGATGGGAAGGCATGTGGGTCACCTCTTCTCTCCAAAGAGAGCCCCCCTGGACTGACCTGCCTTGTCATGGGGCGTGGAGAGCCATCAACCTCCCCAAAGCTTTGTGCTGAGTGTGGCTTGTGCCGTGTCTAATCCCCCCGGCCTCACACACACGCGGCGGGGCGGGGGGGGGCTGTCGTAATGGGTGGAAATATCTCATAATTCACGTTGGACACAGGGATTACAGCCGTTCCGGCAATATTTGCACAACTGGTAGGCGACTTACAGGGCTGGGCCGTCCCAGACGAAGGCTAAGGGGGGTCTGGGAATTGATTGAGGGGGTTTTGGGGGTGGCAGGTACAGGAGGGGAGGGTGCAGTTTGAGGGGTGGTGGAGGGGGGGAAAGTGTTGTCTTCCGTCTGTGAACAAGTGGAGTTTATTACAGAGGGTGTGTTGCTGGCACGGTGGGAATGGCTGGGGCTCTTGCCTTCATCCCATCCTGCTGTGGTGGCCATGGCTTGGGGAGCAGAATGGAGACCCCAGAAAAGTCTTGTCTGCCATGCCAAGCAGATCCTGGCAGTGCCCTTGAACACCACGCCCGGTCCCAGTGCCCCATCAATGCCACAGAGCTCCCTACTCACAGGAGCACCCAAAGGTGCTGGTGTCTCTCTGGCCCCAAATGTCCCCTCCTCAAAGGCTTTGTGGGGTGACCCCAGCAGGAAGAAGGTGGGGGGCATTCAGGGCATGCGGGGGCCTTGTTTGGCATGGGGATTAGCAAGCTCCCAGAAGCGATGGTGGTCTCCCCCCTCCCCACCGGACATGCAGGCAAATATTTGTGCCCAGACTTCGCAGGACAGCGAGAAGGAATTTCATTCTTGCGCCCACCTGCGGCTCAGCTGCCTGGCATTAACCCCTTCACCACTCCATGGGATGGAGGGAGAGGGATGAGGTGCCCTCCCGGCACACCCCGTGCCCCGTACTGGAGTGGGGAGCTCAGCTGAGGAGCAGGATGGGAGAAGTAGCACAGTGGAATCACCCCAGGTGCTGGCAGAGCCACTGGCACAAGGTACCCTTGCCCAAAGCAGTAGCTGGAGGGTTCGCCCAGAGGCATCCTCTGGGAAGCACCCAGGGCTTTGTGCTGCAGTGCTGGGCAGCAAGTGGCCTGCGGGCAATTGGGAAAGGTGGGAAAAACTGTGCCAGCCTTCATCCTCAAGCTGCAGCACCCTGACCAAGGTGCCCCTTGCAAGTCCCTTTGCCCAGCAGCGTCACGGTGCTCTCCTGGGACAGTTGTCTGGGAGCAGTTCGAGGAGGATTTGCCCACGGATGTTTATTGCAATTTGCAAATATAGAAAAAAAGCCCAGAGGATCCAGGAGGGACCCTGCTCCCGGGGGCTGCCCGTGCCTGGGGAGGGGCTGCCCGGGTAGAGGGTCCCCCGCTGCCTGGCACCCCCAGAGCCCCGCTGTGCTTCTTTCCCTGGCCCCGGGGCCAGCTGTGCCCTGAGCAAACGGGGCTGTTTGCTCATGCCGGGATTAGCCGCTCCCTTTGTTCCTTTGACTTTCTCTTTCCTTTATGCCAGACCCTTTTATGGGGGCTTCAAAGGGGGCTAGGACCCCCCTCCCTGCCCCTGAAAGGCCAGGTTTGCTTCCCATGCTACTCCGGCCTTGCACTGACATCCTCGGGGTGCCCATCGAGCACATCTGGGTGGCCCGCGGGGACAGCAGCTGTGCCACCGATCCACAGTCTCCCCCCTAACCCGGCGTCTTCCCCCTCGTCCTCCTCCCCTTCCTTGACTCCTGGCACCTCCTGCGGTTTTCAGCACCTTGGCAAAGTGGGTGCGAACGGCTGCCCCTGCAGCGGGATTCCCGGCACTTTGCACCCTGTAAGGAGAGGTGGGAAACTTGGCACCGGGATCCGGCCAGCTGTGCAGTCCCTCAGCCCCGCCTGGCTTCCTGTCCGCTGCCAGAGCCCTGGCTGCCTGGACGGAGCCCCCGCATCTTTCTGGGGTTCCTGTGCCTCACTGCCCCCGCACCCCCTCCCTCCACAGCACACAGCATCGCTGGAATCGGGTGGGGCCCGCAGCCGGAGCTCCCCCCCCACATCCTCCTCTGCCCCTCTGACACGGACAGCAAACGCTGGCATTGCCCTTTCCAGCAGAGGAATACCAGGCTGCCTATGGGCTCGGGCTGACACTGCCCGATAGCTTCTGGTATGGCTGAAAAGGAGCATTTTGGAGTGAAGGGACTATTGTGTGCACCTTAGGGTGCCTCAGTGACCATGGGGGCCCATTAGACCTCCAGTTTCCAGTTGCTCTCCAGTTTCCCCCGATGAAATTTTGCCTAATGAAGACGGAATGCAGGGCACCTGGCATCACCAATGGCTTTGCCAGGGAGGGATGGGGACACAGGCATGGAGGGAGCATGGCAGGGACTGACGTGGGGCTGGTGATGGGACTGGGGCCAGTGCTGGCAGAGGGGTTAAGGGTGCTGATGGGTGTGTTTGCAGCTTGTCACGTCCGCAATGGGCCACGGCCCTGCAGGGGAAGCCTGGAGGTGTTTGACCCCGGTGCTCACAGGTCCCGTTGCTGCCAGCTGTGCCCAGGCAGCCTGGGCTGCCAGTCTCATCCCTGGAGCTGTGGCACCCACTGGACCCTCCATCCGGGCACCCCATAAGGTGGGTTGTTGTGGGCTGAGCAAGGCTTGGAGCAGGCGGAGCGGGGCTGGGTGTTTACTCTGACTGTTGTCACCCGGCCAGGCACTGCTGGGAATTGCCGGCCGCAGGAACAGGGGTGGGAACGTGCAAGAGTGTGCGAGAGCCGGGGTGTGAGAAGGAAATGCACGGGCTATGGGGAGACTGGGAGTAAGAGGATATGGGCTGGGAGCGGGGTGTCCCCCAAAGGGAAGTGTGTGGGAGGCTGCTGGGGCGGGGGGTTATCTGGGCGCGTGGCCTGACGCGTGCCAGGGGAGTGCGCATGTGCACACGTGGGTCTGAGGGTGCACGTGGGGCGTGTGTACCGTGTGCCATTATGGACATGCACGTACACATGGGTATGGGGCTCTGCACTCAGAGTGCCTGGTGGGGGCTGGCTTTGCTGGGGAATGCCATGGCCATGTCAGGGCCTGGAGCTGAACAGACCCCCAGTACTTCTCCCACCTACCCCACTCTCAACCAGTACCCCCAGTGAAACAGCCCTGGGACCATGCACCAGCCAGATCCTTGTGCTCCATTACCCTCCCCAGCTTAGAGGGGTCCCTGTGCATCACAGCCACCCCAGGGATCTCAAGTTCCCCAAGTTGCCTCTGGGTGATGGATGTAGGGGTCAGACCGCAACCCGGGTGAGGGTTACCAGGGATGGGGTCTAACTCTGGGAAAAGGTCACCAGGGATGAAGTCCACCTCTGGGAGAGGGTCACCAGGGACAGGGTTCACCTTTGTGAGAGGATCTTCAGTGGCTTTCATACCTGTCTGCCACAGCCAGGAGCTGATGCTCCTGGGGCTGTCCAGTGCAGGGTCACTGATGCCATCCCTTCTGCAGGTACCAGGGCCACCCCCACCCCCTGGACAGGCACAGCAGAGGCACTGACCACCGAGGCGCTGGCTGCCAAGCGCTCAGGACAGGGGCCAGGTGAGCAGACGCCGAGGGCGCCCAGGGACGTCTTTCCCTAGCCCAGAGCCAAGGGAGGAAGCGGCGGGAGGCAGGAAGCCGTCCCCCGGGCCCGGGGCCCCTGCTGTGATTTTGCTCGAAGGTCAGCGGCGACACAACAGGAAATCGTGCTGCCTCGGCTGGGCGGCCAGGCCGGAGCCGCAGAGCCGCGCTGTCCCGGGGCCGCTCCCGGCCTCCGTCCCTCCGTCCCGGCTGGGCGGCTCGCGGGGAGCCCGCGCCAACACTGCCCTCCATGGAAGGGGGACGGGAGCCGGGGAGCAGCCGCTGGCCCCAGGGCGGAAGATGCAGGGCCGAAGCCCCCAGCTGAGCATGGAGCTGAACAGTGAGTGCGGGGCTGAAAGGGGGGACGGGAGCGCGCAGGAAGGGACAGTGGAGGCTGCAGCCCCAGAGCCAGAGTGTGCCCCGCGTGATGAGCCCCACAGGTGGGCACCAAACCCTAAGGGTGGCTTTGGACTGGTTGGACCTGGCCACCACCAGCGTGCGAGGGCAGCCAAGCATCTCTCCATGCCCATCCTAGGCAAACAGGTTGTGTCGAGGGCTTTTGGGGACAGGTGCAGTGTCAGGGCAGGCAGTGAGGCAGGAGGACGTATGGAGGGCCTGTGGAGAGGAGATGCCTGTTTCCAGGATGGGCAGTCCCTGGGCACAGCAGCACTGGGGGAGGCAGTGCTGGCAGGAGAGCACTCAGCCAGGGCAGCAGCAAGGACCAGATGTTCCCTGTGGGACATTACAGGCCGGGATTCCCCGAAGCGCACGTGACACCCAGAGCTGCTCTTGGCATAGATCTGGAGGGCTGGCTCTGGTCTGGACAGGGAGTGGAGCTCCACTCCCTTGCCTGGAGCAGGGCCAAAAAACCTGGCACAGACATGTCTGTGGGGCCCCTCGGCACTCACCACTGGCACACAAACCCCGGCTCTTTCCAGTGAGCAGTGGGCACCCGTGCTGACTGACCAGAGGGCAGTACCAGGCCCTCCTCAGCCCCCAGACCTCTCCCTGCACTCCCACCACAGGGTCATAGAGGCTACCACTGGGATGCAGAGAGGGCTTGCCACTGCAGGCATGGCCCTGGGCTGGTAGTGCCCAGGGAGGGTGGCACAGTGCCCAAGGTAACCTTATCTTCCCCAGGACTGCTCCTCCTCACATCCTTCCTCCTGCACGTGAAGGAAGACCATGCCAGCCCAACACGGCTGGTCTGTGACAACAGGCTCATCCAGAAGTACATCCTGGAGGCCAAAGACATGGAGAAGAGAGTGGTGAGGATACAGTCCCCCCCAAAACCCAAGGAACATGCACAGCTCCTCAACATCTCCTCTCCCCAATAGGGCCAGTGCCAGGCCCTGCCCGTGCTCAGCTGCCCTGTGGTGCTGCCCTTGGTGGACTTCAGCCTCCAGCAGTGGAAATCCAAATCGGTGAGAGGGGCTGGGATGAGGGTGCTGGCACTGGCATGCCCACTGGACCGGAGAAGGCACCTTGGGTTGGCACAAGCACCAGAAATGCTGAGCAAGATGCCTGTGGGCATATCTGGTGGCATGGGGGGGTAGAAGACCCCATTCAGACCTAGGGTGGGCACAGGAATGGGTCAGGCCACTCATTATTTGCTCCCCCAGAACGAGACAAAGCGGCGGGAGATCCTGTGTGACCTGGCCCTGCTGGTGGGTGCTGCCACAGGGGCCCTGGGCCAGGTGAGCGAGGAGTGCGGGGCCAGGCAGCTGAGCCAGCTTTACCAACATGCCAACTCCTTCTTCCTGCTCCTGCAGACCTTCAGTTGGGAGGTAATACCTCCCCACATGAGCCAGTCCACCATGGCGCAGGTGCCAGCTGGGCTGGGTGGTGTACAATGATGTTTTGTCACCCCTCTGTCCTGCTCTTGCCCCTCAGGCAGGACACTGGGAGCTGAGCTGCTCCCCACACTCCATGGAGCAGACCCACATCACCAGTGTCTTCCTCACCTACCGGCAGCTGGTGCAGGGCAAGCTGCGCTTCTTCTTCCACGACCTGGCCAAGGTCTTGTGCAAGCAAGCACAGGGGGGCAGCAGAGACCCTCCATGCGGGGCCCGGTGAAGCTGCACACAGGGTTCACCCCAATGTGACTTTGGAGCAATCCTGCTGGACACTGAGCTGTGCTCTGGGTGCCCAGGAAGATGCCCACAAGGAAAGGGTTGGCTCCTGTTCCTCAAGTCTTCGGAGACCATGCAACCCACAAAGGCAAAGAGCAACACCCATGTGCTGGCGGGCACAGGCCCTGCTCCCACCTGGGCAGGCACTTCTACTGTGAATGCTTTTCGATTAAAGAGCTATTTTTCTAAAGGGTTGTGTGTGTCCTCGCCGGGCCCGGGGCAGGAGCAGCCCCTCTGGGACATGCTCCCAGCTTCTGCTCCCTCCTGTGGCAGCCACCAGCACTGCAGACCCCCGGCCCGGCCCTGCACAGGGCCTGAGCTGCCACTCCTCACCCCTGGCACCCACCTGCCTCTCCCAGCCCTAGCACAATCTGTACCTGGAGTGGTGGCAGGGGGAGAAGAGCCCAGGGCAGGTGTGGACTCCTCATCCTTTCAGAAGTGGCAGAGGGCTCCTTTGTGCCCTGTGCAGGTGTATCCACTCCCTGCCAGCCTCATCTCTCAGCAAGCAGAGCCAGAAGTAGAAAACATCCCAGTTTAATCAAAACCAAGTCAGCCTGCCTTGGGATGGCTCCTGAGGGAATGGTCCCCAGGCCCTCGGCAGGCAGGCAGCTGTCCCAGTCTGGCTGCCCCTGGCCAGAGCCAGGGCTGAGCCTACTGTTGAGCACAGGAAGGTGGAGGTGAGGAGATGCCATCAGGCAGGACCGGAGTACACGGCACTGTCTCCACTTGGACGTCAGGCACCTCTCTCCTTCCAAACGGAGCTGTGGTTCCCAGCAGGAGTCAGAAGAGGCTGGGACGAAGAGGGGGACTGCTCCTTCCTCCCCAGCCCCAGAGAGGCCAGGAAGCATGGATGCTGTGGCAGAATTTGGGGTCTCAGGTCTCCTGTTTGCTTGCCAGCAGGATGTCTGTGGGGCAGTCATGGAGGTGTGCTAGAAGGCCAACTTCTTCATCAGCAGGTAAACGCGAGAGTCCACCTCAAACCCGTGCAGGTTGTTTGCGTCTCCCTGAAGCCGCATAAGCAGCCCCCCATAGGACACATAGGCAGAGCTGGGACAGGAGGAGAAGAGATATGAGAACAGGGAATCCCATGGGAGACCCAAGCTGAGATCCCAGTGCCCCCCACACCACCCCGGGGCACTCACAGGCGTGTGGCTGCCTCTGTGGAAGTCTCGTCCCCTTCGATCCGGTACACCTTGCCGTACATCACGTACTCAAACTGGTCTGCCCTGCAACAGCACAGCATGGGGTCACCAAGGGATCAAACCTGGGCAGGCCCCCAGCTCAGTGTCTTCTGGGAGAAGGTATCTCACAGTCACAGAATCAATCAGGTTGGAAAAGTTCTTTGAGATCATCATTGACCGATCACCACCATGTCAATTAGACTATGGTACTCATTGCCACACCCAGTCTTTTCCTAAACACCTCCAGGGATAGTGACTTCACCATCTCCCTGGGCAGCCTGTTCCAATGTTTAATCACCCTTTCTGTGAAGAAATCCCTCCTGATGTCCAGCCTGAGACACCCAATCTCAGCACTCCCCCTTTTCCTCCGTCCATGCTCACGTGGGTCCCAGCTGGGCCCTGTACCTGGATGGCCGGTCGTCTGTGGGGTTGTACTCGCCGTCATCCAGGGTGCCGTCCTCATACAATGTGCTGGCGATGACCAGGCGGAATTTGTCCCCTGGGAGGAGGGCAGAGGAGAGGTGAGAAGGTGGAGGCACAGCCAGAGCAGCAGCAGCCACAGCCAGAACTCAGGGTGGTGGTAAACAGCCACCCTGGCAGGTGTTTTACTTGTGATATAAAAGCCCTGCCCCTGCTGCCAGTCCTCCACCAGGACTGTGGGGAACGAGTGAAAGGTCACACTGAATCCTCTGCTCCCCTATTCCCCACATCATGGAGGAGACCAGAGCCACCAGGACACCACTTCTGGTGTTTTTGTGGGACACGACAAGATATTCACAGGGAGAGTCCCAGAGAACTTGGCTGGACCCTGGGCAGAACCATGACCCCTGCAGCACCAGTTCCAGCTCTTCTGTGCCTCACTGAGGGCAAATTCTCTTTTTCACCCATTTAGTGTATCTAGCTGTAAAAGTTAATTTCAGGTCTCCTTTAAAGCTTAGCATCAGCAAGTGAGACATTTTCCCCAGACATCTCTGGGGAATGGGACAGAGGTGAGTCTAAACACACACAGGGTGGTGAACCAGAACCCAGCTCAGCCCCAGCACATCGGGAGTGCCCAGAAGCTCCTGTGACCTGGGACAGCACAGGGGTCCAAGGAAGTCTGGGACAACTCATTTCTTGTTCACAGCAAATTCAGGCTCCATCCTCGGAGTGCCTCTCCAGCCTACCCCACCAAAGCCGACACCGCTGACCCTCTCTGGACTACCAGCCTGATGGCTTACCGAGGTCCACCGGGTAGATCTGGATGTTCACGTCCAGGATGAGATCCATCTTGAAGGACTCACTCTCGCAGTGGAGGCGAGACACTAGGGAGAGCAGCAGAGTCAGGGATCAGTACAGAGAACATTCCCAGGGGCTGGGTGGGAACAGGGCCCCCTCCCCACCCCTGTCGGGCATCTGAGCTGTTTGGGGGCGGATACGGGGATGGATGCCGGAGCCTGGGAGCTGACGGAGGTGTGCACAGGCAGAAGAACACGGTGGGGTGGGGAAAGAAGGGTTCCGGGGGTCGCGGGGCGAGAGGGGCGCAGCAGCCGGGCTGGGGATGCCCTGGGGAAAGGGGATGCTCCCGGGGCAGGCAACACGCGGAGGTGCCGGGGCACAGCGGCCACCGCCGGCGGGAGGAGCAGAGCGGGGACCGGGAGAGGCCGAGGGAGGGCGCGGGGTCTCACTCACCACGGTCGAACTTCTTGCCCTCGGGGTCGATGTCCTTCACGTCGAAGATGTCCTCGAAGAGGATCCCGGCCATGGCGGCGGCTCCGCGTCCCGGCCCCGCTCCCTCTCCTGCTCTCTCCCGCTCCCGCCCGGCGCGCGCCGATGACGCGCCCGCCCTTCCAGCGCCGGGCGGAAGCAGCTTCAGGGTGGGCGGGGCGACCTCCCTGCCAGCACCGCGGCGCCGGCGGCGGGGGGAGCCCCGCGGTCCTAGTGCCCGCCCCAGTCCTGGTGCCCGCGCGGTCCTACTGCCCGCCCGCCCCCGCGGGGCCGGCAGGGGGCGCTGCGAGGCCGCGGATGGAGCCGCGCGCGCCGCGGCCCCGCCCCCGGGGAAGGAGCGGCCCCGGCAGCGCCCCCGTGCGGCTGGTCCGGGGTGTGCGGGGGGGGCCGGGGGGTCCCCGATGGAGTTGGGGATGTCCCTGTGTGGGTCCAAGCTGTCCCGCGGGGGTCTGGGGTGTCCCGGGTGGTGGGGGTCCGGGCTGCCCCTCGGGGGGGTCCGAGCTGCCCCCGCGGAGGATCTGGGCTGTCCCGCGGGAGTCTCGCAGCCCGCTTCCCACCCTCGTCGCACAGAGGGGCTTCACCTGCGTTCCCCGGCCGCAGGTAGGCATCGATGTGATGAGCTGCGCGGACTCAGCCAGCGATGGCACCAAGGCCTGCAGCCCCCACCGGCTCTTTCCCCCTTCCACGCCAGCCACTGGGAGGGGTGGGCAGACGTGTGACACCGTCACCCGTGTCCTGCCGATGAACCGTGAGGGGAGCAGGGGGGTCTGGCACGGCCAGGGGCTGCTCACACGTCGGGCACCACGGGGTGCTCCATGCCTGGCATGTGGTCGGAGCCGCCGGCACGGGTTCAGGAGTTCAGCCCTTTTCCCCCCTGGTTCCCCGAGTATCACCGCCAGCCTGCCTGAACAAATTTTTCCCTGGCTCAGGCAAGACGTTGCAGCGGGGACCCTTCACCTCGTCTGGACAGCGGGTGCCCGCTCAGATGTGGCACAGAGGGGGCTGTCACAGGGGCTGGTGGGGCGGGCAGGTGTCCTAGTGTGACAGGGACTGGGGAAGGCAGGTGGCATGGCTCCGTGTGTGCCAGCAGCTCTCCGGGGCTGTGAGTGGGGACATCTATGGGACACAGGTCCCTGTGTGTGGCACTGATGCCTGCAGTGAGGTGGGGCATAGCCCACGCTGTCCCCAGGAGCCAGACATCTCCAGGTGGTCCGGGGTGGTATCCAGAGCCGAGGTGCCCCAGCCCTTGCACCAGGATGCCTGCCACAAGATGCCTGTGGTGCCCAGACCCACACAGGTGTGGCCTCCCCACGGCACGTCCCCTCCGTGACACGGTGTCAGCGCATCCCCGCACATGCCTGCGGCGCAGGCAGCGGAACGGGGCAGTGTGGTGACACAGCGGGGACACCAGCTTGACGGGGGTGCTGTTGGAGGGGGCTGGTGGCCTGTTGCGGGGGTGCGGGCGGTTCACGGCAGGGTCACCCCGCGGCGGTGGCACTCAGCAGGGACAGTCTTTAATGTGCTGAGACATAACCTCTGCTCCTTCTAATCATCGGCTGGACGGGTGATCCTTCACGAGCCCCCCAGCCCCCTCCCCACTCTACCCACTCAGACTCGGGCGGGGGGGGGCTGGTAGAAACCTCCCTGCCAGAATGTGGGGCCACGGGCAGGCACCTCGCCTGGTGCAAAGTGTGGGGTTTGGACCCCTTACCCCGGGGTCCCTGTGCCCTTCTGCACCCCAGGGTGCCCCTGCCTGCTTGTCCAGGGTCCAGGGCTGGGTTGTTGGAGGCTTGGGCACCCGTGGGTGGGGGGCTGCGGGGGGCACCCCGGGCTGTGCAGGTTACCGGGGGGTGGCAGCAGCACACTGCATGTGGCAGAGCATCCCCAGGGTGTGTCGAGCTGGGAAGTCCTACAACGGCCAGGCTCATCAGTATGACCAGTGCCCCCTCCAGCATCCCCAGGGTGCCATCCTGTGACCAACCAGGCGGGGACCAGCCGGGGCAGAGTGATGTGGGGTCCAGGGCTGTATTTCGGGGAGCAGTCTATGTGCCAGCCTCCACTATGTTCAGGCATACCCTGGTGCGATTCAGGCTGTGGGGGCTCTGGCACAGCTGTGCTCCCTGCTTGGATGCTCTTAGGGCCACTGCAGGGTGACACAAAGGGCTAATCCCACCTGGCTGTCCCTGCCTGCCCCTGCTGAGACCTGGCATACTCGGTGCAGGCCAGCAGGCAGTTGGGACTGTGCTCGCCAGCCGGCGAGGCAGCCCCCCAGGGGTGCTGCTACCCACC